GTTACACCTGGTAGAGCAGAACGCTGATCATTTTATTAAAGATGAAAGACTTTAGACAGTTTTTCAACTCTCAGTAATGCCATAGTGATCGTTTGATATATGGACCTGCAGCGGAGTTTAGACCCAGACACGGCTAGTGACGTCAGACTGAACAACCGGATTACCATAAGCCTCTATAGCTCATTCACAAGCATGAGGCAGTTCTTAAACATACTTTGTTTGGGTCAGGTGCATGTTGTGTGTTCCAAGATCACCATATTGATTTCCTCAAGAGGAACTGTTTTTTAACCAGCTAGTGGATTTCCTTTTCCCAGTTGTCTTCTGAGGCATGTCTTGGAAAGCAGCTGCTCCCCTCGGCATATATGAGACGGCGGCATGTGTTCAACTCAGAGCCTGTGTTGCCTCTCAGAGTGTTCTGTAGGGGTGCACAGACTCTATTTGAAGCTTCTCTAAGCAGCCCTCTGACTCACATCGGGACATATTTTTCATTTGGTTTTCTTGTGGACTCTGTGATAGTGAAATGAGTCTCCCGTGGTGAGACCAGTATACCTTTCCTATTCCAGCTGCAGAGTTCAGATCATTAGCTCTTTTGTGCTTTTAACCAAGTAATCTCTTTGTCTAACCCGCTAGTGCTCATTTGCATCTGTTTTTTCCACCAAACTTATACGCAGACTATGGAAAGTTGTTATTTTAGACCATTCACAATTGATTTCTCTTATGAATCTGTTTGCTAGGTCCATCTTCTATTTTGTCTCTTGATAGACAATTGGGTTTTCTCATTGTTCTGTGTGTATTTTGTCTGGGCATCCAAGTAGTCAATGCTACATGGGTGTGTGGAACTACCATTAGAATCGAACTGGGAGAGATAGTCGGGTTGCTCCGAAAAATTTCCAGGTTCTCCTCGGGGATCCTAAGATCCTCCACTTTGCTGAAGTAACTTCTGCAGATATCCACTCGATTGCCAATGAACTGTCCTCACCTATCCATTTATGAAAGTTTAATGGATTTGTCATATTCAAATGAATATTTTATAGCAGAACTGTGATATTTTCTGAAACTCCTATTTAGGTTCTAAGTAAAATGCAACCTGACCCTAAAAACCAAGTCATACCCAACCAGCAGACAACTTTTAGAGGTCAAACGTATTATTCACAAGGCAGATGTAACACCCATTTATACCAATAGATGGGAGAAGACTTTAAATGTAAATCATGCCCATTCCAAGCTACACTTAGGTTATCAGACCGGCCTCTTTACTGGTTTAGGGGCTATTATCCAGAGCAAGGTCCAGTCTGAGTCATATTTTCTGCATTTTATCAGAAACTGAAACATTTTCAGCTCTCTCTTGAGAAGCTGCTACAAGAAAATTTTCAGGATTTTTGCAATGTTAGCTGCTGGTTGGTTTCTGGGTGAAATAGTCTTAAACACACACATCCTGTATTGAAACATTTCTTTGAAGATTACAGCTAGGGCCATGCTGGTTTTAGTCTGCATTGTTTTTTTTCCACTGAAAGCAGGCATGTGCACTTAGTGAAGTTAATGAAGTCAACTTTTTCATGTGAAATTGTCGTGAAACCCACTTAACCAGGTGAGAAAACCAAAGTAAGATCAAAACTTTATTGATCTTCATAAAACTGAACATCAAACACAAATAAATATAAATATCACTAAACTTAGTGATATTTAGTGAGGACATAAATACATATCTAAATATTTATATTGTTTATATTGTTTATATTATTTATATTGTTCCTGAAGATTATGGAGGAAGAAACAATTTTGAAAATACGATGTGGTTTTCTAAGTGACAAAAACACAGGAAACATGTGAAAATCAAGTGGAGGTACTGTGGTCTGAGGTGCTGCAGGGAGCAGTTAGAGACGAGCAGTGTGCATCAGTGGTTGGACTGGTGGCTGATGATGTCCATCCAAAGTAGTTTTCAATTTCGCATCACTTCACTGAAGCGTAGATAACGTCTGACTCTGGTTTAAAGTGTGAACACAAACACAGATCAAACGGAAAGGAAACATGATTCTGTCCCTCAAACACAGTCCTGGCTTTGCTGAAAACCACATCAGCTGCAAATCACAATGTGAATCTCTCGTGCAAATGCTCTGCTTCCTTATTTGAGTTTGCTATTGTGAGTGCAAAAGGGCATTCTTTCTAAAAAGCACTGTTACACTTAATGCAAATATCTCATTGGGATAGAGTAATCATAACTGGGACTTCAGCCAAATATTCATAAATTTGGATGTTTCACACCCCATTAGCTACCATTAGCCCACACCAGGTGGCAGCTGGCCGGATTGGACAAATGGATGAAGCTAAATAATAACGATAATGAGTGCTCTTCATTTGCACTGCAGCAGGAAGTAGCTTGGAAGCATAAATAGAAAATAGAAGTAATAATAATAATAATAATGGATTGGATTTATATAGCACTTTTCAAGGCACCCAAAGCGCTTTACAATGCCACTATTCATTCACTCTCGTGAAGAAGTGTTAGGTTTGTTTTACAATTAAATTAAAGAACTATAAAAACCGTCACCCTCTACCTGAGCTTTTGACTCACAGGCATTGCACATAAACTGACCCCATTATTAGAAACTCTGGTCATGTTCAGTGTGAACATTTACCTCTGGAACATGAGCTGTATGACAGGAAATGACATGTCTGCCTAAAGATGAAGATAAAGAAAAGCTGTACCTGCGGTCGTCTTTGGGCTGATGGTTGTTTGTCCATAACTGCCAGGTTTTTTTCTCACTATTGAGTAAACTAAAGCTGAATCATCCTCTGCATAATAAAGCACAAAAAGGCAAAAAAATGTTATTTATGTTTATGTAGCTTCATGAAAAGATGAAATAATGATCTTTATATACCTTTTAGAAATAGCAGCAGGTTTTCAAAGGTTTTTTTTCTACTTCTTAAGATCATAGCTGTGAACCAGCAAAGAACTGGCGGGTGTTCGTGTGAAAGGAGAACATCGAGGACCACAAAGCCTTTTTTGATGCAGGCTGATGCACTTTACCACAGAGGACAAAGCAAACACTTTCTCGTAATGAACGCTATTGTTAGCTAAAGCAGGGCACTCTGTGGTGAGAATAGGCATCAGACTGAAGCTAACTGAAATCAAAAACAGGAAGCTGCTGCTGTGGTTTTAAACTTTAAGAAGCCTGAAAAGAAACAAAGAACTGTGTCAAAGGAAGTTTGTTCTGTTGAGTTAAACTCTCAAATGTATCCTGCTAATCCTGCTAAAATGTTGTGTGTGCACTGAGGAGCACAAGGTAGCAAACTGCCCTTGAGGTGACTTTTGTTGTAAATTGGCAGTGGTATAAATAATTCACCTGAAATTGAATCTTTGTCTAATCTGAGCTGCATTTTGGATTTATTGAAATTTTGGACTTCTATTCCTCTAAAGCACTGCTGATGTTCTCTGGGCAAAAAATGGACTAAAAGTCACAACACGACCAGTCTGTAAATTTTGTTGAGGCCAGATGAGGTTAAAAGGAAACTGGTGATGTTAATATTTGAACCAAAGTCCTGAAGTCTCTGGATGCAATGGCTGTTATAATTGACATACCACCCCCATACCACTGTTTGAACATCGGGAACAGTGGCCTTGAATTAGTAGCATTAGGTGATGATCTCACATTTCAAATCCAAAGACACAGAGTGTATTTTATTTTCAGGAGGCTCATATTCCTTACCCTCCCTAAGAAGGTCAATGCCAGGAATACTGACAAGTCCACCCATTAATCAAACCTTGGATAAAACAAAAAACAGTTAAGCCTACATCCTGGTCATGGAAAACTGGATGGGCTCTACATCCTCTCTGGGATAAAAGTGTGCAAGAAGTTAGCCCAGTTAGTTGTGTTTTTTGGTTTTTTTTTTGTATTTGGAGAATACTTTCAGCAAAGACGGCAAACAACAAACAGCAAAGTCCTGTTGGTGGCATTTCAGAGGTCTCAGACCTGCTGTTTTGGATAGTTTATGGGTCAATCAGAAAGTAATGTATTACATATCCTACGTTACTTATGTTGAAGGTAGTGTACTAGGTTACTTAAGTGCTCACTGAAGAAAGTTAAACTACTTGGTACTCCCTGAAATAACCTGAAATGCATTGTCTAATAATTAGAAGTTAGCAATATAAATCTTAGCCTACAGTCCCAAACATTGATGCAAATCCTTTTTATGGCTCACATCAGGGCTGTTGTTTGCAAAAGAAAAAACACACAGACACGAGCATCATTATTACCTGTGCTTTCTTGTGTTCCTTCAACTTGACTGTTTGATATTTTGATTTCACTCTCTGTAATGCCATCTTCTGCTGCCATATCTTGATATGCTGAAATGTAACAGTAAAGTTATTTACTGTAAATATTATAGAAAAAAAATAAATCTAAAAAAACTGACCTTCAGGTTTCCTGTGACGACATAGTCTTACCAGCAGAACCAGTAACACCAGTAGAACCACAACACAAACTGATGACAACACAGGAATTACAGGATAAAAGAGTGATGTAGGAAGAGTGATGGAGGTGGAACCAGGAGGAGAGGTGGATGTAGGTGGAGGTGTGGTGGTGTGTTCCCCTAAAATAAAGCAAACACAGTCATTAAGTTGTCGTCACATTGTGAATGTTGAAAGCTGCAGAAACACAGACAGGTGAGTGTGTCACCTGTGACAGTGATCCAGCTGGATGGAGACTCTCCATGACCGCTGATGTCACACTTGTAGAGGCCTTCATCAGACCTGGAAACATGCTGGATGGTCATGTGAACTGAAGACCCATTCCTGATGAGGGAGCCATCTTTATAGAAAGCAGCTGGGAGGTTGGAGGGAGTGGTCTTTGTTTTACAGAGCAGAGTGACGTCATCTCCCTCCATCACAGGGAGGACAGGACTCTGCAGGATCACTGATCCACCTCAACACAGAGACAAACTACAGCATTTCATCCATTTACACACAGCTTCATCAACACTAACTCCACACACTCAGCTTACCAGTGACTGTCAGGTTAACCATGTTACTGATGGGACCCTCTCTAGACTCACACCAGTAAACTCCACTGTCTCGTTCAACGATGTAACTGATGTCACATGAAGAGTTAACTGATGTTCCCCACCCATCTCCACACCGAGTGGTGTTTCCTGTGCTTGTGTTTCTCCTCAGAGTCCATCCAGCAGAGCTGTCGTCCTCCTCACAGCTCAGAGACACAAAGACTTCCTTAAAGAACTGAGAGCTGCTGGGACTCACAGTCAGACGAGCTGTGAGGGTGAAAATGAAAAACTGATGATTAAATATACTTTTGAAAAATATGATGCCACATTGAAATAATTGCATTGCAGAATAATTCATTTAATTTATTTAATGTGTGAGAATTCAATCAGGTCATATCAGTGAGCATTTCTCAGGTTTAAACTGTGACAGAAGGTTACTGACCTTGGTTTGTTGTGCAGCTCAGCAGTGAGATCAGAACTAAAGAGAAATGACACTCAGGTTGATTTGAGGTGAACATAAAGAACAACTCCACACAAACAGACAAACACACAAACTTGTCTCTGTTTTTGTATATCTGCACATTTGCTACCAAAAACATGTTTCTATATCATTTGGACACACATCTCTCTTTGATACATCTCGGAGGAAATCTACACAGGAAGCATGCTGGAAACACAGCTGTATCCACTAGAGTATTAAACTTCTGGCTGCTCCTTTATTCAGAAGAGGTCACCACAGCAGGTACCTCCACATCTTGTATTTGGTAAAGATGTCCTTCCTTATGAAAGCTCAAAGATTTTTTTTTTTAACTTCCCAGGGAGCTAGGAATTATTCACTTGTCAAGCAAATCTGTTAAATACCACAATGTAAAACTATCACCTATACAACTAATGGCAAACCTTCGAGCACAGAAAGCTCAGAAGGTAGAGTGCTTGCCCCACGATCGGAAGGTCAGGGTTCACTGAACAGCTACCCTGAGCTGTATTGGTGGCTCCCCACTTCTTCACTTTTTGAATGGATTAAATGCAGAGGCCTAATTGCAGAAGTTGCAAATAACTACACTATGAGTATACACAAAATATCCACTTTTTAAAAATAACACAGTAAAGTCATGTCTCCACTGTGCAGCTGTGTTGATATAATGAGTGAATGATTTGATCTTTTCACTGCCTGCTGTGTTTCCTCGACTCCTGAGAAAAGATAAAGAGTCAGTTCAGACCTGCAGTTGGTCCTCGTGGTGTTTGAACTTGAATTTTCTCTAATTGATCTTTCTGAGTTAACTTCAATAATTACTTCCTCCAAACCATCAACGTGTCTTTTAGACCCCATTCCTACAAAACTGCTCAAAGTAG